ATGCACAACCATTAGTATTGGCAGAAAATACCTAAACCCTTAATATACCCACCCCTATCCCCTGGCAGTATAATTATCAGGAGTAACATGAAAGAGATTGAGTATATCTGAGCCTGATAGTGCTATATAATCTTTTTTGTCAAGATCTAAGTCTCACTATCAAGACAGAGAACTAATGCTAGAGTTGTAGTGTGACCTAGGAGCTTTTACTGTATTTTGCAAGGTAAAACAGGGAAAGGATGGTGGGATGTCTTTATAAATATTGAGGAAGTGGCAGAATGAAAATTCTTTTAAAGCACAATGAAAGCAGATATAAAGTCTGCTGCCTAGCATTGAACAAGCTCAGTTCATCATCACAAAGCAAAGAAAAAAGAACAGTAGAAATTCTTTGAGAATAGTTTCAGATGCTTGGAACATCATCCATTTGATTTTTTAGACACATACTTACTTTCATAAACAATCCAAACTGAATAATACCCCCCCCAAAAAAAAACCAACCTACAGTAAATTAATGAGTTAATTCTATTGATTATCCCTCTAGAATAGTACTTAAATATTTTAGTTCTGTTGTTAAAGTGATCCTGCTTTATTCTAATGTCCTATGTTTTTCTTTTGCTCACCATGTGCATCCCATTATGCAGTATTTTGTCTAAGTGCATGCAATTTGGAAAGTCTGAACAGTTTTCCCAAAATTATAAGGTTTGTACCAAAAAATTAAATAAAGTGTTGTGTAAGCAACATGAAAGTTGTTACATAGTTCCTTTCTAAAATACAGATAAAACTTACTCTTTAAAGATGCCCATAAGGCCTTGTAGAGAAACGTTTTACGAAAAATACCTAGAAAATAACATCTTCACTGGAGAAATTTTCTTGAGCCCTTGCCAATCTGTTTTCATCTACTTCCGTCTAATGCAGAGACTCCTGCCTCCCCCTAGGCTAAGAATGGTTCCAGGGGTTCCTGACATTTAATCTTACAATACTCTACAGAATTGTGCATATATTTCTACAAACACAGATGCGAATAAAAAGTACAGACAGAACATTCTTCACTGGTATTTGAACAGAAGTTGTACATTGAAAGCAATATATTTTAAACATTTCCTCATATTCACCTATAATGTCCTGTCAGTCCATCCAAATTTCTTGTGTGAATGTCTGGTTTTATTATGCATTTAGATATGGATACCAAATCTGACAGATAAGTAATTGGCTGAAAGCAGTTCATACATTCCTAGCAGAGTGAAGCTTCTTAGATTTACATTCTTAATTTAATTTTCTTAAGTATTACAAATTATCAACTACCTCTTCACTCAGTTCCATCATCTGCTTAAATCAAAGCATTATATAAAATTTTTTGCTCTGCAAACTATTCCCACAGTTCTTTCTGCAAGAATGTTTTTTAAAATTGGTGTGAAAAGAGCATGTTTTATAAGTAGGAAAGCAGTTAACTAATGTAAATCTGTATGGCTTTATTATGTCTCTCTTTTAGCCTGGACTGGAAAGCAATGTAGTGCGAAAAGTGGGCATTGCATATGTATGGGTGTGAGCAACAGCTGCCAAAAAAACCCACAGAACATTCCAGCTCTCAAATTAGCTTAGAGGAGAATGGAGACTGCGCTAGATTATTTTTCAGATCTAGAATGAGGGGTACTGTCTTACCAACAGAGCAAAGAGAAAACTAATTTGTTTGTGGACTTGTGTTACACTTGAGGATCACATTCCACATTTTATTAATTTACACAACAATGCTAACTTACATTGGCTTGCATGTTTGTATACAGGGACAATTCGACCACCTCTGCCTTTTATTCCATTTACTTACTTTTTGCAATGTTTTTCATATGGATAGACTTCTGGTATACATCTGCTAATCCAAACAATACAGAAATTGCAGCACAGTATTGTATTTCTGTCTTTTTCTAAGACTATGTAAATAATGAGTTCCAATTCTTTTATTAATAAAATAACTGTGCTATAAAAAGACTGGACTATTGAAATACAGTTTACAAGTGTAAAGCTTTTTTTTCCTTAACATATAGTTTGTTGTGCAATCTACCTTTCTTCCTTTAAGTATTTACAGAACCTCAACCTTTTTGAGCTGATTTCCTTTTTGTTCAGTTTGGTGCCAAAGAGGACATAAAAGATTCCATATGAGACTACATCACTAAAACCAAAAGGAAAATATTAGGAACAAATATAATATTTTGAGGTTTCTTAGTTTGTTTTACCCCTAATACCAGGCAGACCGTTTACACAAATAATTTTTTGCCATAAAGTAACACACAATGAGTTAAATGTGTGCAATGTCGCCATCAATCATGTTCATTTGTGTTTGACTGACCAAATATTTATGGCATTTTAAATCACTTTCTAATCACACTATGAAGGAGGATTAAGAAACACACATTTCAAGCTTTCTTTAAAAAATAAAGAAGTTTCAGTACATTTTCCTGGCAACCCCCTAACTTATGGGAGACTCCACTAATAATGTTTGCCCAAGGTGCTTATAAAGGCCTGACAGCACTTAAATTCAGTACTATAAATGATAAGGGGTGGAAGTACTTTTAGGGAATGGATAACTTTCTTTTCAATAGCACCCTCTTTAACAATTCCAATCAATGTAGTTGCCCTCCTGAAATACACTGCTGATACATACCAACTGCTCAGTAATACTTTTCTTTCAAATACAGATTTTTAGAGTGAGACAGCTTGGAGGAAGAATATCCTTCCAGCTAAATAATGAAACAAGTCTTCTGTTGTTGCCAACTGAGTTGGTGTCTCATGAATAAATATATCTTAGTTCTCATACAATTATTTTGCTTTAAGTTTAAATATACACAGAGATCCTTGGAAATTATGATACACATTTTACTTGCCTGAACAATTCATTCTTAGTTAAGTGGAAGACATCTTTTTAACCTGTAGTAATAGAGTCTTGCAGTCTTTCAATGCACTATTTTATAGTATTTCATCTCCCACTGCCATCTGAAGATGACATCTGAAGTAACACAAGTCAAGGTATTTCTGCACACTGTTCTGTTTATATATAATCACAGGTACAAGAGCAAAACTGATATTGATAGCTTCCTTGAAATCAAATTCATTGCTATTTTTATGCTTACTCTGTGCGTATAGAAAGACTCAGATGTAATCTGAGTAGTTCCTTGCAAAGCTGAGCTTTCATCTTAAAACTGTTCATTGCTGAAATAGTACAATCTGTCACTGTCCTGAAATTATTATAAGAATATCTTATACAATAAGAAAATACAGGAGAGAAGGTGGGCAAGATGATGATATAAGTGGTTAGATGTATTTTCTAGAAAGATTCTACCTTTACATTTGCAGTTTCTGACCTGTGTAAACATTGTACCTGCAGATCTAGCCATAAATGTGTGCAGCTCTACTACAGTCCCTCTATAGACAGACATTTGTACACTTTATCACTTTCTGAATCTCTTCATTTTCTCACTGCAAGTTTAAAGAATTGAATTATGACTGGGGCTTATGAAGATACCCATATATTTGGATGTCCTTGAGAGAAAACTGATCCCTTCTGATTTTGGAAAGATGGAAATTGAACAAAAGTTTCATGCCTACTTCTGATGTCACGAGCAAGTTCACAGAATAGATTGCTTCAGTAACTCAGATACCTAAGTGTGACTGTTATAAATGTTTGAGACTCCTGACAGTCTTGGGTTACTATACTAAGCAAGAGTGAGGGAGACCAAACTGAAGAGCAAGAATGAAGTTCGTAAGACATATAGACTTCTTTTGGGGTATAAGCAGAAAGGATTAATGTCAAAGTGATTGTATGATAATGAGTCACTGACAGCTCCCAAGTTTGGCTTTAATGAGCAAAACAGTTGTTTTGGGGTTTGTTTTTTTTTTTAGGTTTGGGTGTTGTTTGTTTTTTTTTTTTCTAGAACATGAAGATGTAGGCATCGTGATTGCAGATAGTTACAATGAAATAATGGAAGTGCAGAGTTCAGGCTTGTTTCCATATTGAAAACTGACTTTTTTTTTTACTATAATAGGCTGAAATATTTTTGACACACAGGAGTCTGCAGTCTCCAAAGGATACCTTAATAAGAATTCCAGAACTTCCTAGGAAGTAAATAAAGACTCGGTGTCCTGCAATGACGTGCACTTCTATGAGAACAGTTTTGGCTTTCTCATTGGATGACATTAGGCTTGTTTTTTTTTTTCTTGCTTAATGCAAGAAAAGTCCATTTCCCTTTGGATGATGGACTTAAAGTGGACCATGGCCTACCTTATACTCCAGTGTTTCCCATCCCACTAACACTCACAGGATTGGAAACTGACCATCTTTATGTTTGGAATCAGTGCCCCAGAAAGGCCTGAGGAAGAAGGAATTACTGACTGCTGCAGTCAAAGCCTTGGGCCATTGAACTAGTACAGCTGCCATAGAGGTCTAGATTTAACTGGACTAAAATTTTGCCATATAAGTCCAAATACACAAAAAAGAGAAACATATACAGGAATGATGTTGTAGGAAGTTCAGGCTTCCAACACATGTTCCTTACTTACTCTCACAGTCAGAGGTCCACTAGCTACCTGACATGAAAGACCAAAATGATCAGTCCATTTTTCTGCATACTTTGTTGCTATATGGGACATATATAAATCATATTTTTGTTTTAGCAGCAGGGCTTTTCTCATAGATAAACATGTGGTTTGTCTAAAACGAAGCAAAACACAAAACACCAGATATATCTACCTAGAAATGGATGATGCTTTGAAAAGTCATATAAAGGCCAAACACTTGCTGAATAAAAATGAAAACATTAACTTGACAGAATCTGGCATAGTGCCCAATGTGCTGGAAAGAACTTTTGTATGGAAGCATGCACTGCATTTTTTTTGTCTTACAAATTCTCTTAATGTGTTCCTATCTGTTCCGTATTTGATTCACATTCTTTACTTGACTCTCTGACAAACTGAATTGCAGACAAATACATTCTAATGAAAGAAGACATTACCTTTATGAATGACCTCATAGAGAAGAGGTTGGCTAGCATAGTTGAAAGGCCTGGTGCCAGGCAGCTCTGGGCTATGAAACCAAGCTTAAGCTCAGCAAGACAGATTGCATCATCCCCTTCTTTCCAGTTCCAGCTTGGGATATTTAGCAGATGGGCCTGAAAAACAAGCAAACAAAATACCTCATAGGTGAAGAACCAGAAATACTTCCTCAAATACAGCACAGTGTTGAAGGACATATGCAGTGAATTATTTTCTTTGTTACTGTCTTGACTTTTTCTAATGAGGCAGAATTCTATGCAAAAACATGTTCCAATCTTACCTACTACAGACAAAATGTTGTATTTTTCAAGCCCTATTCTGGCTGTGACACTCTGCCAGGCCCATCCTCACACCTGAATGAACCACACAACGCTATGAAGTTTTTTTAGCTTTTCTATGTTCCTTTTACAGTACTTGGAGCTACTCTGACTGATAAGGCACATACACAGTACTCACGAATCTAATATAACTTAGATTACAACTCATGTGAAGCTGCAAAACCGTTATAGGACATTGCTGTTTAGTAAGGTACACATCATCCTCTGTCTTTTCTATTGCATTCCTGCCACACTGAAGGACAGCGCTTGACTTTATAAATATCCAGACCTTTTGCTGAGACTGCTGTTTACAAGGATAGAAAAAGAAAACAGCTGATCAAGATACACCTCCAGTATTGACACTGGTCAGTTAGATAGCTATTAATATTGTTCAGTTACTGGCATAACTCTATCAGATTCTCTTTTCCATCTACCTTGTACATTTTTATAGACATAAGGAAACACAGAGGCCTTCATACTTGCTTCCCTTCATAAATGAAGATCACAGTTTAGCACTTTGATAACAGCTATTCTTGAAGATGATTTCACTGGAAATACAAATGAAAAAATGCAGTGAAAGATCTTCCCTTCTGAACCTGTTTAAAGGAGAGAAACACCTTGCTTTTATTCTATAAAAAGACAGGCTCCTTCTATTCATGTACAGAAAGAGGACAGTGTAAGCAACACCGATTTCTCTTGTTCTAGACAAAGTTTACTGATATAAGGAATTCTTAGCATTCAAACCTTCTAAGTCAAACCAGGATCATTGTGTTTTTCACTGAATGAAGGGCTACCCAGTCAAGCTTTTTCTGCAACACTGGGCAATGGTTGATGCTTTTAGAAATAACTAAAGAAGCAGGTCACATATGAGTAGTCTGCCCTCTGAGTTATTCCTCCTAGCCTTGTTAACCAGCAGTTTATGGACTTTCTCACCTCAGGAGTGCATGAATTGACTTCACTGTGTTTAAAGACAACAGATTTATCATAAAAAATTTTGCCAAATTCCTTTTTGATTTAGATTTATAATTCTGATCTCAATAACATTTTTAGCAACAAATTCCACAACTTAATTATGTTTTATATGAAAAACCAAGTAATTGTATTTATTTTGTAGCTGCTACTTGGCAATTTCAGGTCTACATTGTCATGCTGCAAGAAACGAAAAAAAAAATTGCCATCGGTTATTATCTTAAAGGAGTTTTATTGTGTTTTTTTAAGTATCCACAAAAAATTACTTCAGATTACTTCTTTAGAGGCCACCAATTCATCTTGGGTAGCTCTAGTACAATAAGCTGAGCAAAACTTATAGAAGCTGAGATTCATCTGGAATCAACAGCAGCTATGGACAGTGTAGCTTTGAGAATTACAGCCTCGACAATTAATTAATGTCCAGATTTTTAAAAGGTTTTTACATTTATAAATAAAAGTGAATTAACTTGTAAGTGGATTACATAACAAGGCTTATTATGATGGGATTTTTTTGAAATACTGTGTATGAATGAATGCAATGTAGCAAAAAACTCTGGGGAGAGACACTTGGTCATCAGCTTACCTTATTGTGATACTGCAACATCTGAGTGATAATTCTTATCTTCGGATGATAATTCTTTATTGAAATTACTCTAAAAATAAAAGACGACACAATTAAAATAACTTTGTTTAGTAAGATATTTGGATAATGTATGCCAGTACATCTACTTTACTGGATTTTCAAGTCCAACAATTAAAACTGTACCCTCTTATTCATCTGGCTGTTAAGCATACTGATTGATGTCAGACTTATGCAATATTTACTCCTAGACAAATTCAATTAATAACCATTGGCTAATGCTAGAACATCAAACTTCAGGATTTATTCAGTTGAATGTTTGCTCTTATGAAATTTGCAGAAGACAAGACTTGTTTTAGCAATTCGTTTATTTATAGTTAGACATTCATCATCATCAAAGAACTTAAATAATAATTTTGTTTGTCATAAATTCACATGCAAATTATATGATTTTTTTACGGGCTATTCCAAAGTTCAATATTGAAACTGATATTTGAACACTGAATTTATAGAATATGGGGCTACTTTCATAATGTGCAGCTTGCCTGCTTGCATTCGTCATTATTTAATGAAACTAAGATGTACTCAACTGTGTACCTATTAAAAGCAGCTGTAAAGAAAAATAAGAAACTAGTGAATTGATAATGTGTTATGAAGAAAGGAATATGCATTTTTAAAATTAAAAAAATAACAAAAATTAAAGACTGAAATGGGTAAAAATCAGTTCTGTATACAGAAACTAAAGTTATACAAAGAAGATAAAACCAATCAAAACAAAAAATAATCTTAATTATTACGGAATCATCAGTCTCATAAGACGTGGAATGCCATGACTGTTTACACTAGTGTTTTGTAGGAATTATCTTGCAAACTGCTCGTCTGGTTCATGCTTCAATGTATATAAAAGCTAGAGCATAAAACAGATGAGAAAAGTTGTATGCATGCTTTTAATTGATATTATCTTTTGGAAGAGAAAAGAGTCTTCCTTCTAATTATTCATTTCTTGCTGAATTAGTTAATTAAACATTCAATTTTGTTTAATTAATTTAAATGTGAGAAAACACAAGAGAATTCCACTCTCAAAATTACACTTTTGCATTTTATGATATTAAATAAATTATATCTATTAAGAATGCACTAATCTGCAACCAGAGTATCTTTAATGCATTTATACAATTAATGTCAAAATAAAGTTTCTTGCATTGCAATTCAATGTCATATTTGGAAAATTAAATTAGGCATATTTAAGGCCTATATCTTCCACAGACAGCCACATCTCCTGTGCACTGTGAACTTTTTCCAGAGGAGCAATTTTATTTTTGTTTTTCTGATTTCTCCCTTTCTTTCAATTCACAGCATGCAAACATCTAACAGGCCAATAAAATTGGTTTATAATACTGGCCACTTCTGTGTTAGAGATTTTTTAACAGTTAATTGACATTTTAATTCTAAAAAGGAGAAACTGGTACCATTAAAGCTAAGGGTTTAACACAAGAAACGGAATGGCTTACGTATGCTGTAACTCTAACTGCTGTCTATTGACAGACTCTTTAATTTCCTTCCTTCAAAGAACATAAGGAGGAAAGCAGGACAGGATCTGGTGGCTCCAAATGTGTAAGTGCCTTGTCAATCAAAATAAGAATACTTGATCATCAGCCTCAAAAAGGAGGCTGAAGCTAGATTACCACTGTATATTTGCCACCATGAAGCGTACACCTGTTCCCCAAGCTGCACTATTGCTTGTAAGAGCAGATATATCACAATGACATATGAATTGATTAAGGGTCATTCTGTCCCATTATTAACAGCAGCCCAGGCAGCACATGGCATATTTGTGCAAGAACATGAACACATTCCTGTTCTCCTCATTTCTACAGGGAGTGCATTCAGCTGTGAATACTCAAACCCTAGATCTTGCAAAATGACTAACAGTACCAAGTCAGCTAATCAGTTAAGAACCAAAAACCTATTAAAAACTAATGAGTTTACCTCATAATATTGGAGGCATCTTCAGCATCTGGGTCAGCGCAGTATTTATTGGCAAGGATTAGGCACGCATCTGCTGACTCTATCTGAGGCACCAAAGAAAAGACACATATAAATAGCAACATCTCTTTCTAGCTCTTCCTTCACCATAAAGAACTATGGAATTCAACACTGCCATCATAATTGTGAATGTTAGTTCTTAATACTGCTGATTAAAAATGTTACAATGTGAGTTAATGTGAGTGATTATAACAGCTCTCATATACACATCATAATTTCTTGAAACTCGTTTATGATGTTCAGAGCAGGTCAATAGTTCAGTTGTTAACGGACATATCTTTTGTAACCAGATACTGAAATTTAGACCCCTAAATCCATAGGAAGTTCCTGTTACATCAGTACAGTGCTCCCACAAGTCCTGCAGCTCTGGGAATTTCAGTATCTTCCCATTAAAGACAGGAAGAGGTGACTGAACTGACGATTTAGAATCTGAGCACCAGTTTTAGAAAGCGTGAGGAAGAGAACAAATCTGTTCACAGGACCTCTATGTCCTCACAAACCTTAGCTCTATTTAACACAAAGCAGATGACAAAACTATTTTTCAGTGTATACAACTAAATACCAACACAAAAAAGGGTGGAATACAGAACACAAAATACCAACACACACGTTGGTAATTATGGTAAAACACTAACTATGACATTTATGGTTATAATTCAAACATTTTGTTCTGATGAAATGAAACAGTGTGTGTTGGATTACAAAAGGTTAAGCAATTTGTGCAGCCAAAACAGACAAAAGACATGATTTGTACTTCAGAAAGTGTTAACATTGGACTAAAATATGCCTGGCTTAAGTAACCAGTTTACATTCTGGGGGGACTGGGGTTGGGGGGGGGGGGAGGCGAAGGGGAGTAAACCTTAAAAGTAAATGCTGTATCTGAGAGTTTACTATCTTTTTTTTTTTTAAGTTTCATGCTTTTCTTTAAGAGTACAAAATAATTTACCATAGAGAATTACAGAGAACAAAACTATCTCATTTAGCTACCAAAAATTTTAAATTGTTTTTGTTGGGGGTTTGGGAATTTTTTTTGCTTTGCTTTGGTTGGGTTTTGGTGGTTTTTTTTGTTGGTTTTGTTTTGTTTTTTTTTTTTCCTCCCAGACAATAGAAAAAGGGGTTTTCTATTTATTTTCTAATCATTCTGATGAAGACAAAAAATTTTAATCTCTATTATATCAAATATTAATGTAATAGATTCTTGAACTAAACCCAATTAAAAATTCGTAAGAATTCAATGAAATGGCAGACAATGTACAGTGATACTGTAGCTTTAAAGATCTTAGGATATAGGGAAAACAAAATTCATAAGGATACACGTTATATTTTATTAAGTAAGCTAATAGAAATGGAAAGAGTCTTGTGGTGTTACATTAAGAAGAAGTTTACTGGAGTTTTTTTTTCCAAATAATGCAATGAGTACTTCTTGAAAAGTCAATTAGCAGGAGAACAGAACAACAGAGCTGTTACCTTCACTCTTGCCAGGTCATGGGGATTAAGGACTGAACCCTGATAAAATTCCACCTGAGTGAAGTGTCGTTTAAAAAGAGCTTCCAGCTCAAGGTTAGGGGAGATACTGCATTGGGAAGATGAAAAAACAAAAGAGCAAGTGAGAAGTCAGTTTCCATATTTCCTTATATATAAATTTCCTTAATTTATAAATCAACCTCTTAATTTATTTTAGGTATTGAGACTTCTGCTGATGCTTCTCCTGTGGTTTGAAACAGCGTGCAGTACCCAAAAGACACACAATAACTGCTTTTACTTCCTTATTTCTGTCTACAGCGCTTCTGGCCCACTTCATTGTGCTACTCTGCATGTTCATCGTGTGTCAGTTTCTCACAGACATGGATTCAGAAGAACTGGTTCAAACACTGGAAAACATCCCCACGCAACACTCACTCTCCACAGAAATTCTCTAATAAGACACTCATCCTCTGTATGTCCCCACCATTCTCAAAACAGCTAATTACATCAAGAGAGCTCAGTGGAAAATCACTGAAAGTTGGAAAATGAACAGTATAGGGATCCTGTGAGCTACATGAGCTACAATCAAAACAAACATAATTATGCTATGACTTTCTGTCTCATTGCATTTTGCCATGATCAAAAAGATTTTAATAGATCATGATGTATTACCCAGTGCGGCACCATTCACGTAAATACCTCTTCTTATGCCACACATTAAATCAGAAGGAATTTGTTACATACATAGTAAGTGCATGAGATCTTTATCATGCCAGATGCTAAATTTAGTAAGAAAATAAAACAAATAAATAAAGCAAATATTTGTCTGTGAAGGCACAGAAGAAAGCGGGCACTAACAAGCTGCCAGGTGCTAGTCTTCATGTTAATACGCAGTTTCCTGATTCCTACTGCCATGCATTTTCACTGCGTAAATCTGGATCTCTGCTTTCCTCTCAGTCAGTTCTTGTTATTACTTTGAGAGGGGAAAGAAGCAAACAACGTTGTTACTTGAGGATATCTCTAGTTCAACTTGAAAGAACTAGGTAAAAAAATTGTGCAAGTGCTGCTGATTCTTAAGTTTTTCAGCTTCCTTTGTTGAATCACCCAAAAATGATTCTTGAACTTTCTAATAATTTTCTTTGACAAGAAGTGGAGAACTTGCTGCCTAATGCAAAAATATTACTCATTTATAGCTTTCAACACTTCCAACCAGATGCTATTCCAGAGTAGAAAAGACCTTTCATACTGTCTAACACATGGCTATTTCTAGAAGCTTCTCCCATAGGCACACCTATTTGATATTGTATTTCATGTAATGCAGAGCATACAAAAAAACAGCAATCACCTTACAAAACCTTTCCAAATCCCACATCAGAAAAATGCAAAAGACCATGTGTGTGTAGCTATGCATATAGGGGTAAAAGAGCAATACCAATTATCAGCATGAAAACAATTACTACCATCGCTGTATCTGTAATGTTACTTACATTAAAACTAAACATGCACCTACATTTTTCATTCTGCTATATGAATTAAGCATTTTTTTCCTAGGGAAATCAAAGGTGAGAACATGTTTTCAGATAGCAAAAGTTCACAGGACATACAGTATTTTTTACTAATCTTATAGATTTTAACAATTTTGGTAGTTTCACTAGAAATATTTCCCACTAAAGAAATTCCCACATATATTTATTAGTATTTCCCTATTTTTTATTTCATAATATCATTCCCACTTCAAGTACATGTTTAGATATCTACCTCACAATTGACATGACTGAGTCTGAAGCCTGCTTGAAACACCTATATTTAGCAATGGGTTATTGAAAAAAAAAAAAGGCAGAAAACAACACTTTGTCAAAATACACTAATAACAAAAATAACTGCAAACATTTTTATGGTAAGTTGGAGCTTGAAAGATCCTCTCTCTCAAAAAAAAAAAAAAAAAAGATCTGCTTTAATTTACTGAGATTTAGAAACAGATGATAAGAGTAATCTCGAAAGTTTACTCACTTATGCAGAAAGACGATTTCTACGTTGACATCATCCCTATCCTTGTGCAGGAAGTCCTTCAGGAAGTTGGACACGCTTTCAAGTGTTATGTGACCACAGACAACTATGTGCCTGTTGCAGAAAAATCAGAGTTAATCTTGCAAAGAAGGTAAAACAAGCAAGAAAGCAGAGAAGGCAATTATAATTTATGTGCCAAACCAGAGTATTAGTCTCTTCTTGACATTTCTCTAGATCCTATTCCAGAAGTCAGAGGAGGGGAACATCAGTTCCAGAAAAATCATTTTGGCATTGCAAATACACATACACTCTCATCTGCAAAGACTACTATTAAACCATTTGCCCAGCTGTATTATACATTTAACAGTAAGTGGCATCATTTATATATATGTTTATACATTGTATTAACCGGTCTCTTTCAAAATCATAGTCTTCTATTTTACACATCTTTCTCCACATCTTCACCTGCCCTCATGAGTTTTGCTGTTTAAATTTTTGGTTTATGACATAATGAGAGAGCAAATCTCCCTAAAATGATTTGATATTTTGCCATGGTTGAAAGCAGACATTTATGCCAAGGAAGGCAGTACAAGGCTTGCTATTATAGGCCATAAGCAACAAAAAAGAAATATTTTTCTTACCATAACTTCTACAAGGTGAGTACTTCACTATAAGAAAAAAATATTTATTGCATCACTGCAACAAATTGCTTAGAAAATCAAAGTTTTGAGAGGCTGAGATGTCACAAAGGTTTCTACTGATTCGCTTTTCTACTACTAGGTGTATCTGACCCTACAAGGTAGAAGCACAGTATATACCTACATACACATTCTTAAATTCTATATCAACATAAAAAGGACATGGAACTGTTGGAACAAGTCCAGAGGAGGGTCACAAGGATGATCAGGGGACTGGAGCACCTCCCGTATGAAGACAGGCTGAGAAATTTGGGGCCGTTCAGCCTGGAGAAAAGAAGGCTGCGTGGAGACCTCATAGCAGCCTTCCAGTATCTGAAGGGGGCCTATAGGGATGCTGGGGAGGGACTCTTCATTAGGGACTGTAGTGACAGGACAAGGGGTAACGGGTTAAAACTTAAATAGGTGAAGTTTAGATTGGATATAAGGAAGAAGTTCTTTACCGTGAGGGTGGTGAGGTACTGGAATGGGGTGCCCAAGGAAATTGTGAATTCTCCATCCCTGGTGGTGTTCAAGGCCAGGTTGAACAGAGCCTTGGGTGAGATGGTTTAGTGTGAGGTGTCTGTGCCCACGGCAGGGGGGGTTGGAACTAGATGATCTTAAGGTCCTTTCTAACCCTAACTATTTTATGATTCTGTGATCTTAAATTTGGAGAGGCTGAAGATAAGGCTTAAAAAATTGCACTCTTCTTAAGGGATTCTTGCACCTTTATTATTGTAAAGCAAAGTCCAAAAACCTGCAGTTAGAGTATCTTACACTGCGTCACAATTTCCTTCACAGAATAAACTCAACCCCAGCTTCCATTAATTTCATGTGTTTAAGGAGGATGGTGATTTTGACATGCCTGTTGCTAACAATTCCAATAACCACACTGCTCACAGAAGTTGGGAAAAGGGACAAAGTGGTATAGATACAATTCCTAAGAACTAATAAAAAGTCAACTTCATTAGTCATACAAATTACTTCATATACAGTCATTTAAAGTACAAAAATGCTACAAACACACCGTTTCAGAATTTCACAAAATTATTTCAAACTTGAACAGCCAAGTGCAAAAGAAAGTAATTCCAAGGGCAAAAGCAGAGCATTCATGTCTCACTTTGTAATTTTTCTGTAGAACACTTGGTAACACAGAAAACGCATTGGGTGAAAACAATAGTGCAGCAATAATTACTTATGTAATGGGCTATAATAGGGGACTGTTCTTGCTTGATAATTTGATCCTTGATGAAATGTGTGTGAACAGTGCATAGAATTCATTGAAGAAGGGATAATTATGCAGAATAAAGAATAAATCAGTGATATGCATCATGCAGTGTAAAACATCACCATCGCAAACTGTTACTTTTGCAGTGGTTCAGATGATGACTAGAAAAGCAAAACACAATAAACTATTATACCAGTCCAGCACATGTTATGAAATTAGTCTATTATTATCACTTCTATAAGTACTGTAACCCAGGGTTTTAAAACTTTATTTACTAATATGATAAACTCAAACACTCCTTTTGCATGAGTTCTTAGCCACATCATCAGGACTTAAATGAAATTTCAGATACAGCAGCAGTCAAAAACTTTAATGGTTTCATTCTTTTTAACAGGCAAGGAATATATGGTTATATGAGACTGATCATGCTGGTTTTTATTTAACATGGGACTTAATACTATGAACTTTTATTGCTAAACTGGCTAGCCAGTGAGTCTGCTTTGGCTTCAGTAAGATTTTTCTCAATTTTAACCAACGTTTTTGGTAAAGTGTACAGAGGATTGAATCCCTGGACTGCAAACATGTTTTCTAAAATGACTGATTTTAAACTATGGGTATTATTTTAAAATGTTTCCATCTAAGAAATCAAACTTTCCATTTGTGTAGTTGATGCATTATTTTTAATAACAGAAATAATTTGCTCTTGTAGGCAATTCCTTTGTACAGAACCTGTGCTGTCAGCTTTAGTGGGGTTTCTTCCTGAATGCTCTTGTACTACACTTCATACTTTGTGCAGAAAATGTACTTTCCAGGGATACTTCATTTCACATGGGTTCTTTTCTGTTATGAATTAGAGTTCACATTTTAAAAATATGGGTAAGCTGAAGAGAAAAACTACAAGCCAGACAGGTGTGCAACCCAAATTACTCTATTGCAGAAGAAATTTTCACAGGATCATAAGATAATTCTTGTTGGAAAAAACCTCCAGAAGCTATTTATTCCAAAAGCCCCCACTAAAATAAGCTGCATTTGGTACAACTATTCAATCCTGTTATGATTCTTATTCAGTAGTGTTTCACAGCAATCTGCTCTAGTGAAAATAAAACACTTGGCTGTCAAATACTTGTGCAAAGCGTTCGACACTGTCCCGCATGACATCCCTGTCTCTAAATTGGAGAGACATCAATTTGATGGATGGACCACTCGGTGGATAAAGAACTGGCTGGATGGCCGCACACAAAGAGTTGTGGTCAATGGCTCAATGTCCGGCTGGAGACCAGTAACGAGTGGTGTCCCTCAGGGACCGGTGTTGGGACCGGTTTTCTTTAACATCTTTGTCACTGACATGGACAGTGGGATTGAGCGCGCCCTCAGCAGGTTTGCTGATGACACCAAGCTGTGTGGTTTGGTTGATACACTGGAAGGAATTAATGCCATCCAGAGGGACCTTGACATGCTTGTGAGGTGGGCTGATGCCAGCCACATGAAGTTTGACCATGCCAAGTGCAAGGTCCTACACCTGGGTCGGAGCAATCCCAGGCACAGCTACAGGTTGGGCAAAGAAGAGATTCAGAGCAGCCCTGAGGAGAAGGACTTGGGGGTGTTGGTTGATGAGAAAATGAACATGAGCTGGCAGCGTGCACTTGCAGCCCAGAAAGCCAACTGTATCCTGGGCTGCATCAAAAGGAGCGTGACCAGCAAGTCAAAGGAGGTGATCCTGCCCCTCTACTATGCTCTTGTGAGACCTCACCTGGAGTATTGTGTGCAGTTCTGGTGTCCTCAACATAAAAAGGACATGGAACTGTTGGAACAAGTCCAGAGAAGGGCCACGAGGGAGAAGGTCCAGAGAAGGGTCTACAAGGAAAGTACTTCACTATAAGAAAAAAATATTTATTGCATCACTGCAACAAATTGCTTAGAAAATCAAAGTTTTGAGAGGCTGAGATGTCACAAAGGTTTCTACTGATTCGCTTTTCTACTACTAGGTGTATCTGACCCTACAAGGTAGAAGCACAATATATACCTACATACACATTCTTAAATTCTATATCAACATAAAAAGGACATGGAACTGTTGGAGCAAGTCCAGAGGAGGGCCACGAGGATGATCAGGGGACTGGAGCACCTCCCGTATGAAGACAGGCTGAGAAATTTGGGGTTGTTCAGCCTGGAGAAGAGAAGGCTGCATGGAGACCTCATAGCAGCCTTCCAGTATCTGAAGGGGGCCTATAGGGATGCTGGGGAGGGACTCTTCATTAGGGACTGTAGTGACAGGACAAGGGGTAATGGATTAAAACTTAAACAGGGGAAGTTCAGGTTAGATATAAGGAAGAAGTTCTTTACCGTGAGGGTGGTGAGGTACTGGAATGGGGTGCCCAAGGAAATTGTGAATGCTCCATCCCTGGCAGTGTTCAAGGCCAAATTGGATGAAGCCTTGGGTGAGATGGTTTAGTGTGAGGTGTCCGTGCCCATGGCAGGAGGGTTGGAACTAGATGATCTTAAGGTCCTTTCCAACCCTATCTTTTCTATGATTCTATGATTCTAAATACTCTTTGGCATTTCATCACCAGAACTTATTCTTTTAGAAGTGTCAGAAGGCGTCTGCACCATGGTTTCATTTTAGTGCTCTGATTTGGGGCTGTACATGTTCTATTCTTCTCTTTGCTGTTCTTATAAAAGCGTCCTGAGCAGTGAATGCAACAAAACCTCTTGGTTTTCAAAGAACATTTTCTGATCAGATACTTACATTAATTTTGGGTTGAAAACTCCCACCAAAAAAGGAAATATTCTCCATTTAATATAAATTATACTTTTGCTTAGAAGTAGAAGAAATTGAAAACAGATTTCCTACTTGCCCAGAGAGAGTTATTAGTTACATTATTTAAGAAAACTTGGAGAGCTTATACTGTTCCAATCTGTCCTGTATATGATTTGAAGATTTATTACTTCCTCTGTTTGTTCCAATAACCATCCCTCCACCGTGTACCACTCATCTTTTTTCCATGCACCAAAACTTTAAATAAAGCCAACATACTGGATATCTTTTGCTAGATATTTTCTAGAGTTGGTTTGTAAGAAAATATTCTATTAATAATTTTGGGTCAACAGTAATGTTTAACCCCTGCATTAAGCTTTTGTTTATGAAAAACCTCGAAAGCAGCACAATATTCAGCTAAATTATTATTATTTACTTTTTTTTTTCTTTAAAAAAA